ACATGAATGATGACACACAATGAACACATACAAGAAGTGACGACACACACAATGCACACATACATGAAGTGATGACACACCATATGTGAGGCATCGTGGTGACATCAGGCGCTCGTCAAAATAATGAAATCGAAGAAAACAGCATTTTCCTTCACGCATGGCAATTTTTATCGAATTTTTGTTTTTTGGTTCAAACCCATTTATGTCCATACAAAAACACATTTCCATGAGAATTTTACTGAAAAAAGTTGATTAATGGCACAAATTTGTAATTTTTCAGTTTTAAAGAACTATCAAGCTATAGAAGTTACCAAACTTTGACAGCCATTTTCTCAGTAATTTTACCTCTGAAACCGGGTGACCAGCACCTCCTTCTTCAGCAAATATCTCGACTTGCGTTCAAGATAAAAGGATAGTTTATTCATCCAAAGCAAGACAAAAGAACAAGCTTTAAGATGATACTAGTAAGTCTACATGCCCAAAAATTGCCGAGCGCCTGATTCCTGCACGTCGTGACACATATATGAACAGACTGGTGAAATTGCACAGTACGCACAGACAAGTGATAACACACTATATATTTGTAAACACCTGGTGAAATTGCACAGTACGCACAGACAAGTGATAACACACTATATATTTGTAAACACCTGGTGAAATTGCACAGTACACACAGACAAGTGATAACACACTATATATTTGTAAACACCTGTTGCTTGTACATTTGCTCAACAAAGTAAACCAAACAAACTGAATTTGTCTACAGACACAAAACCTTGTCAACAATGTGGTGTCATGAGGATGAGTTCACAGGATCCAGCTATGACTTGAGTTTAAGTTTTAGTGAGAGTTTTACAGCACTTGCAATACAAACAGGACATTTAAGTGACGAGGATTAGAGGAGTGACTTGAGAGAATGTATAGAGAAAAGAACGAGGAGAGACGAAGACGAAAGACATTTGATAGGAAAGAGGGAGCAAACCTCACTAGTACACCCAGCAACCACCCACTGTTATGACTTTATCATTTTATGACGTGTCAATACAAAAGATGATGTGCATAGATTTGTCATTTTAAAGGATAGTTGTGAAGATGAGTCAACGGAAAGGACAAGGCACACAAGCAATATGCCCACACCTCAACAGAAATCCATAAAATGACATAGGATTGTTTTGGGGGTGTATCAATTGACCGTGCATAGTTGAGTGCAGATGTTCACTGACAATGCACTAAAATGTGGGGACCTTTATTGTGCTGAAATGTAGGAATGATAACATACAATGCACTGAAAAGTGTTGATATAAACTGACAATTCACGGAAAAGTTAAATAAATAAATGTTAAGTGACAGTATAAAGAAGAGCACTAGCTATCTGACAGAGCTAGATTACTTTGATTGATCAATTGGAGCTGTCCCATGAAGGAAATACATCATCACTTCAGATGAAAGAGACACACAATTCTAAGGTCTGGATATACATCAAACAGTCAGCCCAACAGTCAGGCCAACTGACATTCAGACAATCAAACTGGGTCAAACAGTCAGTCCCACAGACAATCAAACACACAATTAAACAGACAATTTAAACAGTTGGCCCACCAGCTGGTCCAACAATCAGACAATCAAACTGTCAGTCTAATAGAGAATCAACCAGTTGGTCATACACTTGGTCAAACAATCAGTGAAGGAAGAGATGGTCAGTGTCCCTGAGGAGGGGCGAGTCTGTCCGCCCTCTTTACACTCTCCCTGTATACCTTCTCATTCCTCTCACTCAGAAGGTCCTCAAAGAACCTCACCCTCTGGGCCACTTCGTACCTTTTGTCCAGCGCCGGAGACACAGCCGCAGGTACTGGAGGGTCAGGTGCCTTGACCCTCACTGGTGGGGGGGACGGGCTGGCCGGTGCAGGAGTTGGTGTGCTCACTTCCTGTCCTCCGCCGTTTGTCCTGGCATCTGGCACGGTCGAGATGATCTCGCCAAACAACCTCATGCCCTGGAAGAGGACACAGGTTGAAAAAAAAATTGTTCATGCTTTATGTACCCGTCAATACAAGTTAGATCAGAGGTACTTAACCTTGTTGGGGGTACTGATCCCTGCAAGTTTCATACATGTTTTAACTCTTTTAACCCCATCGGACGCTGGGAGCGTCCAATACCAGTGACAACTTTTTACGTTTTATTTAATGCAAGTTTTTACTTGCTTTTCAGAACTATTCCCGAACCAAGTTTTTAAGCAATGATTAAGTCTTTGTTTCAACCATTTAGAAGTTGGAGGCAAGCTTTTGGGGTTATAAAGAAACAGTGCACCAGATTTAGGTGACTGTAGAAAAGACTCTGGGAAACAATAGGAAAAAACTAGAAAAACATTGACTAATACAGGTGGGCCTAGCGATAGTATCGGCCGGGTCGCGGATCGGGTTGCAATTGTCAGATTTCAGACGATTGTCTACAAACATACAGGTCTAAATATTGCTTATCAGGGCCAAACTGGGCTCAGGGGGAAACAGAATCCGTGCAGTAAGATGGCAATACAAGAAAGAATGAACTTCCCAAAACACAAGTTGTATAGTGACACGTTAGAATCAGGCACTTTTTTTATTTTGATGAAAAAGGCACTCATCTATCTTGAATAGAAGTTGAGCTATTTGTGGAGTAAGGAGGTTGGGGCTGCCTGGTGTCTGAGCTAAAATTAGAGAGAAAATGGCGGCCAAAGTTTGATGCCTTGCAAAGTTTGAGAGTCTTGGAAACGGCACATTTACAATTTGTGTTGCTTAAATCAAGGTTTTTCAGTAAAATCAACACAGAAATGTGTTTTTACATTGACATACAAGGTGTTAGGCCCATAAAAGAAAATTTGAAAGTAATACTCAAAGGCTAGAAAAAATAAATGCCAGTTTCATACATCTCTTTATTTTGACGGGAGCCTGATTTCACCACAATACCTCACAACTGAATTCACATCTTGTGCTCAAAGCTGTTATAAAGACCAGTGTTAGGTATTTAAAAGTTGTTCTAACATCCGATCCGGACATTGGGGATTGCCTTGTTAGTGAGACAACTTCCTGGGCCTTCGGCATATTGTGGTAGGGTGGCCAGTTCCTTTCCACGCGGCCTTTACTTCTCCAACTCGAAGTCAGGTACCCATTACAGCTGGGTGGGCAGGAGGGGGCGGGAAAAAAATCTGTGGCTCAAACCCGGACTTTCCGCTTCGGAGACGAGTGCACTAACTGTGCCACTGTTATTCACTGAAAAGCCATTTTCAAATTGTCTGTTTTACAGAATCTGAATTATAAGTTTGGTCATTTCTTTAGTCTTTGTGTACCTCAACATAGTCTCTGACAAGACATGAAGACATAATAAATAAGTATGTGTATTGCCATCAATTGATTGTGTGACTTTTAGCTTCTTTTGCAAGCAGGATGAAATTTATTATTACATCAAAGACACATGAATCAAACTCAATTATCAGTAGCTAAGGTGGTGATGGTGGGGTTTTTTTTTTTTGGGGGGGGGGGGATAGAAGGGTGGGGGTACTGTAATTTCAAAAGAAAGTGTAAATGAACTGGAACTTTGGGAAGGCAAAGAATATGGATAGTTTATGTTGTTTTTTTTTCCACTTGAAATCATACTCCATTCAATTTTTACTTAAGACGACAGCTTCATTGCCCAGTATCTGGTCAAAATTAGAATTCCAAGAAGAATGCAGTTTGTTCCTATCTGGGTCTACGCTGAACAACAAGTACTTCAATAAAGTCAGATTGGCATGGAACCTGATTTTTTTTTTCATGAATTCAGTCTCCACCTGCCAGATGCAACTTATCATTACTGATGTGAAAATACACAGGTCTGTTTGCAACATTTACGTGGCATATGGTCAATGACATGAAAATACACATTTGCCAGCCAACTGAACAGCCAAAACAGGGCACTTACCGTCTTTTTGCGGATGACCAAGTTTAGCTGCCGACTGCTCTTCAGTGCCAGAACAGCCTAAGAAAAAAGAGGCCCATGTTGTACTCATTTTCAGAACAAGCCTCAGGCGGGATTAAGTTAAACATTACTTCTACCTTAACAAATGTGTAAACAAAAACCCCCAGCAATTTCTATTTTGAACTACGTGGTCAAACTTTACCTCTACTTGTGACAAGTGTAACAAAACTATTTATCTCTCACTGAGAAAACAAAACATTCTTTTTATCTTTCACTGAGAAAACAAAACATTCTTTTTATCTTTCACTGACAATACACAGCATAAATTCATCTTCAAGTAATGCAATAAAGTGCTACTTTTTTCTTTGACTGATTAAAAAAACAACCCCACTACACTATTTTTAAATGATGAAATACAACCTTTTTTTGTTATGTCCGACCGATGAAACACAACAGGAAATTTCTGTTCATTTGTTGTTGCAAAGCATTGCTTCTGTACTTCTATTCATGTACAATATTGAATGAATTGTTCAATCAACATTGAACAATGCAGTAAAACTTTGCATTAACTTTGAAAGATGCAATAAACATTGCAACTCCTAATTAATAAAAATAATACATAAAAAGCATTTTGTATCAGCATACATCCCCAGTCCATGCGCTTTACAAACTACATTGCTACCCCAAAACACTATGAAACATTCTCGGCTTCCCAAGAAGTATACGGTGCAAGCATTTGATTAAGCGCTAAAACACTAATAAATTGACAAGATCTGTCGCTGTGTATGAGCTGGGCGTAAGAATTGATTCCGGAACCAGTTCCCGTGATTAGTGCAACAAAAGAAAAGTTCCAATTCCTAATTACGTCAACCAATGGTTACTAATTACTTTATCTATTGAAACTGTTTTTCTTAAGGGGAGACCCGGGTCGGTGATACCAGAGAATATAGATAAAAACGCTCACAATATCAATTTTTTGTTTTTTGCGGAAAAACATCCTTTGACATCTGTTCTATCGGGTTACAATGACGAAACTGTTGAAAAAAACCCACCCTAAAAGACCTAAAAAGGCATTTGAAAAGTGCATATTGAACTAGAAATCCTTTTAAAAATTCCATTTTTTTCTGTTTTTCTCAAAATCTGCTTTTTGACACATGCTACCTCCTTGGTACAAGGAATTTTCAAAAACTACTGAAGCTTGAAGCTTCAAATTTGGTATACAAGTGCTTTAAGATCAAAGAAATCTGGAAATATTGGAAACTTGTGGAAGTGTTCAATTTTTTGGGAACATATACCCCAAAGATTAGTCAACTGACTCTCGGGGATTCATTGACTTTGGGCTCACTTTTTTATTTTTATAAATAGGTCTAAATCCTTAAATAGATCCACAATCCATATAAGTTTGCACAGTGTGCCAAATTTCAGGCTGAAGTTTAAATATTTTCTAAGAAATTCTTCTGCACTAAGAAGCTGGTTTGAAAATCCAAGATGGCCGCCACAGAGACCAATTTTTCAGAAAAAATTAACAAATTTACCCTTAGTACATCCTATTTACTCATGAACTTCTTGCACAATTACATGAAAGTGAATAAAAGTAATTCGTTTAGAAAATTTTTCCAGGAGTGTAAGCCTACATCTCCCCTTAAAAGAATTTATTATGGAAAAAAAACTTGGTGCCAATTCCGAAATTGAGGTTATCCTGAATCCTGATGCTGCTCAGCACCCATAACTGGCTAGGTGTTGGATTCATCAGAAGTAATCATGGACCTGATGGTAGTAATCAAGTAGTTGTCTAGAGGTCCGACTCAATGAAAGTAGTCACTACTAACTGGAAGTAATCATGCTACTGTCTAAGAGTCGGGACTCAGAAGAAGTAACTGTAATTGTCCAGGAGTCGAAAACTTCCAGAAGAAATCATGGACTCCCTAGAAGAAATCAATTAACTAGAAAGTAACTGGGTTCTGACTCCATTTCTTCGATTCCTAGCTTTCAGGAATCAGGAAAAAATACGGAACCGCCCACCACTGTCTATACCTCCTTGTGGCTTATCTTGCGGAAGCTCGTCTCGTTGACCTCCACGATCTGGTCTCCAGTCTGAAGGCCAGCCTCCTCGGCCAGACTCTCAGGCCGCACGCGCTCAATGAAAATCCCGGGGAAGCTGCGAGGGCCGCTCCTGATTCTGAATTGTGATGATAGACAGTAATCGTAAGTGTTTTTAGTTTTAGTAAGATTTTTACGCCATTTGCAACACAATTTGGTCATAAGAGTAGAGGTGTTACTAGAGAGTAAAATAAAAAGAACTGGAAGAGAGATAAGGACGACAGATTTTTTATAGGAAAGAAAGAGAAGACTACACCAGAGCCCCACCAACTTCCCACTTGCAGGGTTTTGACGGGATGGATAACACAGAGACAAACAGGAGGAAAATATCCCGCACAATCAGGAACATATGTGTAAATGTACATAGATGTATTACACCTCCATCAACACAATTTAGGCGGAGGGCTGCTTTGACATGTGAAATGCCAGTAGCAGAATTCAAGTCAGATGAATTTAAATAGACTAATGATTTCAAGGAGGTCGGAATATTCTAACAGATTCGGTCGGAACAGTGTCAGTCTGAAACAAATATAAAACAGGGAAAATCATATTATAACAACAGCCATGCCAAATGACACTAAAAAATCTTTTCACCATTATTCATCCTGATCTTTTCCAGTCATCCATCAGTTCAAATTTTCTACGTAAGTTATTTTTTTAACCGCTGCATCTTTTACCTTTCACATTACCATCTCTAAAATTCTACAGTAGCATAACTTGCGCAATAGCATCCTTCAAAGATCTACTGCTGCATCAGTAATTGCTATCCTGTTGTATACATTCTACACTGACATCTGGGAAGTAGCAGTTAGGGAAGAAGTCCTTTTGGACCAGTGACTACAACGTTCCTTTTGGACCAGTGACTACAAAGTTCCTTTTGGACCAGTGACTACAAAGTTCCTTTTGGACCAGTGACTACAAAGTTCCTTTTGGACCAGTAAAAGAGAAGGTCCCTTTTGGACCAGTTGTGTTCGCCGATTTCTTGCTTTAATTTTGGAATCCATTTTTGGTGTTGCCTCTTTCGTTT